ATAATGTGTTGTTCTAATATGCATTAAATGGTCAATTCCAATGTGAAGGACATCAGATAGCATTCTACAGCCCTCACAGGTTTTATTCATGAACAACAACAAAAGTAGCTTTATACATGTAACAATTCCCAGTTCACAAAAGTTAAGCTTAAACTACAGCATAGTAAGCTAAAGAAAACAGCAACCAATCGAGTAGTGCGAATGATGTGATCATGGAAGAACTAACAATCGAGGAAACTGTGATTATGAAATTGTTTTACCAACAAGAAAGCGTTTTGTCTTTGGCTGACTTGGGTTTTGCTTCGAACCAGGAGTTAAATCGTGTTTTGTTCCCCTTCTATTGTCATCATCATTACTGTCGCCATTGCCTGTAGCTGACCGATCGAACTGGCACGCAAGCCTTCTTCGAGCTTTCACTGGAGTGCTTGTTGATGGTAGATTACCGTCTGGTTCATCTATAGAAAATACACATCATAAGCTTTATATGTGTACATACCTTAGCTTTAAATCGTGAAATTATGTTAAAATCTTCATGAAGTAGAAGAATAGCACAAAATAAATTCACAATCATAAAATTTAATATACCTATCACAAATACTAAGCTCATCGACGGACTTGTTCAATTCTTGTAAGCTTAGATCTTCCCCGGAAACTTCACAAGTCAAACACGTGGGATCTTCGCCGGACGCCATCTTGGATCAAAACCAAGAACACGCAAAAACACTTCTGGTAACACCGACCGATGAAAAAAAATACGTCAAGTAGGCCAATTGGCCATAATAAATACAACTACGGCGAAAAAAATCACAAAAACGCCCTCGCACAACTTTTCGACTCTTCGCACAACCTTTCGACTCCCTTCCCTTTCCTCCTTCCCATCACCCCTCGCGCTTCTCTCCTTTCTCAAGAGAGACGACTGGGGACGAGTCAGGAGTTAACCAATGTTATCAGTTCCGCTTTAGAAGAAATTTTCAATACGAGCGATAAACCAAACTTAACTTCTTGCTTAACAGGTCCGTGTAAGGAAGGCAATTTCCTTGCATTGTTACTATTACTAGAACAAAGTTTCGTGGTGCGTCACCTCAAATAGGATCCTTTATTTGGGGTACTTTAATCTTCTGTTATTACTTTTCTCCGTTTTTGTGCTTACGTAGATCTCTCGCACAAGGCTCCGTTTGGTTCTCTTTGGTAGCCGTTTTATGGTCAAACTATGAGAAAATTGTATCTATTGCCGTCTCTTAGACCACTACAGAGGTGAAATAAAGCAATAAATAATAAAATGAGGCACGATAACCAACCTCAGTATCAAGAAAGAACTAATAACGTAAGACGACGGCAAGAATTCAACGTTAAGCTAAATAAACATATATAAGCGGCGGTTAAACTGGACCGGGAGCTCCTGCCAAAAGCTATAACTTATGCATGGGGATGGGTAGGACCGGATTGGGTGTGTCTTGATCGAACCTTGGAAAATCGAACATTGCAATAATCGAACATAAAAACCAGTTTCATGGTTCAAACAAGGCGTTGCGTTCAAATTAGTTATGTATCAGTTGGTTTCAATTTCAAACACGAGTAGGCAAAGATGTCACGGAGAGCTCGTGCATAAACTAGCCGCATAAACTACGCACGACTTTAGGAAACCTGAAAAAAAAAACACATTGAATACAATAATTACTCAGGCTTACCAGTCGAAATGCAGCTCCTGAAGGCCATCAAGTAAGGCCAGAATCACTTGATTCTTTTAAACCCTGTTACGCATCAAGAAAGGTGAAAACTTGGTAAGAGGACGGTCATGTCTGACACCCATTGCAAGATAAGGGAGACCCTACTGATTAAGGATCTAAAACCTTCCCTTAATGAAAATGTTAGCAGTAAAAAACTTTACCTTTTTCGTTATCATGCTTTATTAAGATTAAGATGCAGATTTCGCTACCATATGTCATCTATTATTTCTTTTATACCGCTACATGAGAAAGTTCTGCAATTTGATTTGCTTAGAGCAGTGGTATTTCAGCTTAATTTGGAATACCTACAGGAGAAAATTACAAACCTTTTGCGGGTAGTGCCGGTATAAACAAATAATAGCATGATTTGTACGTGATATTTGGCATAAATACCACTTGTGATATTTCACAATTGCCTCAAATTTCACTCGCCTAACGGCTCGTGAAATTACGTATAACAATTTCGAAATATCGCTCGTGGTATTTATGCCAAATATCACTACAAATCATGCTATTACCTATACTAATTAGCTGCTTATTCTACCTTTAAATTTCAGCTATTATTCAACGGTATGTATTTCTGACAATGTATGTTGGAACACACGAAACGTCAAGTTAAAGTTTTCTTTCTTTGCAGAAATCGGTGGATGTTTCTTTATTTTTATCACCGCAGCTTGCTTTTTGTTTCTTATTATGCGTGGGATTTTAGCCAATCAGAAACGGAGAAATAATTTGAATGAATTATAATATCAATTTTTTTACAGTTGCGCGACGGTCGAGGCTGGGGAAGCGTAGCTACTCCACAGATAATGATAATGATAATGATAATGATAATGATAATGATAATGATAATGATAATGATAATGATAATGATAATGATAATTTGTAAACGGACGCTTCGCTTTTAGCCCAGGCTGAATCTATATATTATTATCAATTGTTCGACACTTGCGTGACGGCCGCGGCTAGGGAAGGGTAGCTACTTATGTGACATTCATTTACACTGGAGCGAGTCTGTATCAGCTGGCGAATATGAGTGTCAAGTCTCTTGTCAAGTCACTAATCTTATATTTGTAAGACTCTCAGCAACGTTTTTGAGACGTGACGGGCTTTAAGGTCTTCAATCCTCAGCGTTTCGAGTAAGTTATTCAATAAATAAGGAATTCTATTCAAAAATGGTCCCTTAGACAGTTAGGTTTTTGATGAATTTAATGTTTAAAGTCATTTAGGAAAGAAAACCATATATTAAAATCTACAGTCGTGGAGTACTTCCACATGTCCTAGTTTTATGGAAATTGAATTCAATAAAAGGCTTACACGCCGTCAACATCTACGCTATGAATTTTGCAAAGGAAAAAAATTGTTGATCTTGCTAATCGTGTACCCAGACACCAAACTGACACTGGAGGATTTGGGTGCACAAGATATTCGACCACTATTTTGAAGTGCCTGCAAAACAGACTCTGGAAGAAAATGAGCGCATACTTCTTCTTCGTTACGTTTAGGGCCAGTTGAACGTAATTTCTATCAGTCCTCACAATAAAGGAAAAGGCCTTGTTTTGTGTTAAATTAAGGCTTAAAATTGAATAAACTAGGATTAAACGTTTCGCCCGTTTTCACTAACTCTACATGGCCAATCTCTATACCGATCTCTATGTTCCTCTTAGGCCGTGTGAATTGAAAACATTTTAATTTAAGATTGAAAACATTTTAATGTTTTCAATCTTAAAAGATGAAATCCGTTAGGAAATTGAGTGATTTTAATTTTCAGTGGACAAAAACCTTGTACCAGGATAATTTCAAGCATATTGCATTCTCTTTCACACTTTTCAAGGGTTATAGATGTAATAAGTTGTATGAAATAACTCCAAAGAAAAGGATCTTATTGGAGCCCTGAGAAGCCTTATATAAATTTCACAAAATAAAATTTTATGCATGAAAATTTTACCTGTGTTTTCTCAACTCCTGGGAAATTTGAAAGTTATTTACTCGGGCTGCCGTAAGAAATGTCTTCGGTGTTATTAGAGATAACTAATTACATCTACTGCTCTTGAAAAGTTTAAAAAAGAATGCGATTTGGCTTAAAATGTTCTGGTACAAGTTTTTTGTCCACTGAACGTTACTCAATTGCCTGATGGATTCCGTCTTAAAAACTATTCATTTTGCATCTCGTCTACGGTTACTTTTAAAATTTTTATACACTGGGTCCTATTTCTGAATATTATCATCATTTATAATGTATTAATTATTTGCAATTAAAGACTATGCTTTTTGCTTAACTCTTTGACGTCCGCTTTGATCGCTTTTGTCCATATGGACCCATGCATATTATCCTTCCTGGACTGTTCCATTTAAGTCATTAAGATGGTATATTAGCAAAATCAGCGAGGATAGATCTTTTCACTGGTACCTCATTTAGCAAATCCTGACATAGTTGTAGACAAAAAACAAGCAACGTTTGGGGAATAAAATCACTATTTACCAACTTCTCTTTGCAGATTGGATTTGTCCCTTTTTTGGAAAGTAAACCAGCCAAAATTCCAAACGAAAAAAAGACGATGAAGTGGGGAAAAAAAGAGAGGTAAAGGAAAAAAGAATAGAGCGTGAAAAATCCAGATTTTGGCTGATGCGCATGCGCGAAAAACAAAGAAGCTGCTTAATTACATCCAATTAGCAGAAAATTATGTCCTTTTTAGTGTTGAAAAACCCTTTTTTTGGTCATTCCCATGATAACTAGCCGTAAAACGGTTCAAAAAGAAAGGTTTGGTTCAAATGCGATTCTTTAACTAAAAATTGCCCGACGGCAAAGGGTTAAGCATTGTCTTCTGGTACTGACTGACGTTAAAATTTCCCAAGTTACTGCTTATCTCGAAGTCTTAGAACTAAGTGTACAGGTGTTTGTTGAGTAGATTCCTCATTAACGCCATAATCTTCCAGAGTGCGGTGGTCTTCGAGGTTCTTCCAACAAAAGATAAGGCGCTGTGTGCTAGGGGGGTGTCCTCTCGATTCAAAGATGTTAGCTTTGGCACTCCTAACTGAATCACTTGAGTGAACAGCTAACATGAACTCTTCCCCAGACATTGTCCTTACCAAAATCTGAACTAAAAAACAAAAACAATGATTCAAAATGTTGTATCTAAATTTGGTTTAGGAGAGCTTCACTCTTACCAGATATTGAGAATGCTATTCTCTTACAAAAAAGGTCCATCATCCAGCTCAGGATCTCTTCTAAAAAGCCTGTGTCACAGATTGATACATTTTCAGGCTATAAAAAGGTTCATCTTTTGCGTCAAAAAACGCAGTCAAAGAATTAGAGCAGAATAAAGGATTTCCAGCAATGGCGGATGAAATCTTCGGCGTTTCAAGCATATAGAGCTCAACCAACCGACTAATCTTGGACCGATGTGAGGGCGGAGAAGCTTCCACGTAGAAGGTCATCTGTCATATACGATGAAACGGGTCTTTGTGAAAACAGCAAAAGAAATGTAAAAATAGCTTAAAGGTCTAATGCCTTAAGACAAGTACTACTGGCCGATGATGGGCTCCTGCTTTGGATAGCTACAGTGTACAACACGCACACCTTACCCACGACCCTTGAAGAAGGGAGCATTGGCAGAGGATTAATACCCTTCATGTGGTAGCCATATAAAAATAAATTCGCTAGACTAAATTTTGGACCCTACAAATGGTCGCACGGATTCAACTTTGAAGAGAAGGATGAAGTCTACGCGAGGCTTCTGGACTGTCTGAGGATCACGATTGAAATACAGTGTTTGTATTCTTACTTCTTTCCCCCAGCTGTCCTGACGTGTGAGTTCCTGAGGGTGGCTTGTGATGTTCTTTGTCTGGTACTGGACATGGTGACCATTCATTTACTATTGAGGCTTCAGCTTTTCGACCAGTTTCTGTAGGATAAGAAATGATTTTCAGTTTGCACTTGCTATAACAACGCAGGACTGTTCTACAAGGGCGCACTAAATGTCAAATTATGAATAATCAAAGAGGCGCTCAACGCCGAAGTTGTTATTATCATTTGATATCCAGTAACCCCGAATTAAAACATGAACAGGCTGCCCAATAAGACACTTTATTTTGTAACGAGAAATGGGAAGAGACAAAGGACGTCTCTCTTCCACATGTCACACGTTTATCAATAAAAAAACACTGCCACTTTAAATGGTATTGCAATGTCCTGAATAAATGAAAAAAATATAAAATCATCAAGATTCTCGGTATTTACACTGTTTTAAACTGAACTAAAAAATGAACAATGTTGTTGTGAATTTGGGTTATTTTGTGCACTTAAAAAAGCTTAACTGTGGAGAGCACTACCACTACCACTACCACTACCACTACCACTACCACTACCACTACCACTACCACTACCATTACCACTACCACTACCACTACCACTACCACTACCACTACCACTACCACTACTACTACTCCTACTCCTACTCCTACTCCTCTTCCTACTCCTGCTACTACTACTACTACTACTCCCACTACTACTCCTACTGTTCTGTTCTATTTTAAATCGAAGACTTCACTTGTATTTTGAGGAAAATAAGATATTACATAATTCCCAAATTGGCTTTTTGCCTGAAAACCGCACTGCAGACCATGTTTTCACTCTAAGGACCCTAATAGACAAATATGTGCATTATCACAAGGAAAAAGTCTACGCTTGTTTCGTAGATTTTCGCAAAGCGTTTGACTCTGTTTGGCACGAAGGATTGTTTTATAAGCTGCTAAAAACGAATATGGGAAAAAAATAAATTCACTTTTGTACGCAGATGATTTAGTTATTCTATTAAGATCGAAAACTGGATTACAGAACTGTTTAAATGCGCTTTCCTTGTATTGTGACAAATGGAAGCTTAAAATTAATCCGAAGAAAACAAAAATTATGATATTCCAGAAACGCCCAAAAAAATCTATTGACATCAAATTCAACATAGGCAGTGAATCAATTGAAATTGCCCAAGAATACACTTATTTAGGTACACGTTTAACTCCAACGGGAAACTTTACACTTGCACTCGAACACTTAAAAGAATATGCCCTTCACGCGTTTTCTAGTATTCGGAAGCGGACAATTCTTAACAAACTTAATCCTAATACTGCATCCCAAATTTTTGACACCATGGTATTCCCAATCTTGAGCTACAACAGCGAGGTATGGGTTATGTACACCAAGCAAGATTTTAAAAAATGGGATAGCTCCCCGATAGAAAAAATCCACCTCAAATTCTGTAAACGTTACTTAGAGGTTAACAATAAGGCCTCTAACATAGCTTGCAGAGCTGAACTTGATAGATTGCCGCTGCTTATCCCGATAAATCAGAAAATTATGAAATATTTTGTTTACCTCAACAACAAAGATAAAGACTCTATAGTCAAACAGTCTTTCCTTATGTCAAAGAATCTAAATTCTATGAATAATTCCGGATATTTTTCCAATTTCATAAACATGCTTCAACAATACAATCTAACCAGTTTAGATGCTGAATCTCTAGATAATGATAAAATTAGACGATATACCACAGAAATGAGAGAGAAATATCTATCTTTTTGGCGGCACAGCCTTGAAAATTCAAAAAAACTAGAATTTTATAAAACTTTTAAAGATGAATATTCTACATCTGATTATCTCTACCAGCTAATACATTATGACGAACGACAGAATTTTGTTAAATTTAAAATAAGTAATCACAAACTTATGATTGAACATGGTCGATACCAAATCGATCATTTGCCAAGAGAAAATAGATTATGTCCCTTATGTAACTCAAATCAGGTAGAAGATGAGATTCATTTCCTCTTTCAATGTAACAAATACTCAGTACAGAGACAGGCATTTATTAATCAAATCAATCGAATAATACCTGACTTTGACAAGAAATCATCTCCAGAAAGCATAAAACTGATAATGAATTCAAAGGAACATCATGTAAATAAGTTAGTTATGAAGTTTGTTTCCTCCTGCATGAAAATACGTGATTCATTGTTAGTAATGTAACTGAATATTTCTAGATTATTATTAGTGCTGTTTGTTTTATATTTTGATTGTCATATGCATGCTTTTGCAATACTGTAAAATGATGCGGTCATGCAAATAAAGCAATTTATTACTTACTTGCCTACTCCTCCTCCTCCTCCTCATACTACTACTACCACTACTACTACTACTACTACAACTACTACTATTGCTACTACTACTGCTACTGCTACTGCTACTGCTACTGCTACTGCTACTGCTACTGTTACTGCTACTACTACTACTACTACTACTATTGCTACTGCTACTACTACTGCTACTGCTATTACTATTACTAATGGTTATAATACATTGCAAAAATGGAAGTAAGAAGCTGAAAGGCTGAAATCACCCCCTAGACTTGCAAAGCAGGGCGGGCGAGTAAAGCAGTTGTTAAGTGCGTGTTACTGAGTGCGCCAAATTCGTGAAAAACGGCTCCAAAGAATTCTCGGGAAAAGGATACATCCCACAAATGATCAGGATTTCTCTTGGAAATTCGCAAGATGCTCTGGCCTTTGAATAGCTTCGAGACTGGAGGTGGCCTACTTTGTTAAATACCTTCCTGTTTTTCATGTAAAAATCATGTTATTCTCATGCTAACAAGCCCTTAAACATGATCACTTACAATGTGAAAAACAGGGAGGTTTGTAACAAAACAAGGTCAGTTCCAGCCTTGCTTCTATTCAAAGGCCAGGGCACTAAGCACACAACGGTAAATTTGCGTTTTCTCCGTTTTTCTCCCATATTTTCGGGAATATATGTTTCGCTGACGCTCAAGTTAAAAAACTTGAAATGATCAACCAACTTGAACGTTTTTAACAAGAATACAAAGCACGCAACGCGTTGTATGTCCACTGTGATTCAGTAGTGATAAACGATTTTTTGTTTGGAATTTCCAAAAAACTTCCGGAAACTCCTTAGAATCCCTAAGAATTCTCCGGAACGAATCATTTTTGAGACTTCTCCAACTAGGTATAATTTGCTTGACGCAGTGCGATTATGTGACCTCATTATGACGTCCAATTGTTTAATTATCAGCTGAACCCATTGTAAATCATTCTTTAACATGAAAAAAACTATAGAACGGGCGTAACGTCATAATTCAATCTTTTTTCCGCGAAAAAAATGCAAATTGGAAAGATGGCTGTCAAAGCTTGATTACCGTGGTAACATCAATGTTAAATTAAAGTACACGCCACGACGACTTTAAAATGTTTCCATATCAATTAATATTTCGGAAATTTCGCTTAGTTTGGCGGTCAAACCTTCAACGGTTGTAAGGTTATTCAACTTTAAAGTATACGAGGCCTCAAAAGCCCCCCAATCTTACTGCAAGAGCCTAACGCTCGTCTATTATCTAGCAGTTATTTTAATAAATATCTGTGTTCACGATTTTCTTATTTTGTCTGACAACAATCGCGCTTTTGAAATATTAGCTGGCCAAGACGTTCAGTTATGGTGAGACAAAAAAAAAATGAAAGGCAGCAATTTAACGATCTAAAGTCAAATCACCTTTTTACATCAAGCAAAGAAATCTTACCTGGAAGTCTTACTTCTGGTGTACTAGCGTTTCCAAAGGAGCAGTAGGCCACAGTCACGAAGTCCTTACTTTCGAAAACAACTGCCTCAGATTCCCATTTGTACAAAAGACGTAGAAATAGCTTTCTACTGGGTTTAATGGAAGACAGTTTTAGGTAACAGCGGGTGATGTCCGTCTCTCTGATATCTTGTAATCCTTCACCAAGTTCCCGTTTCAAGGCGATGTGGAACTCCAGAATCTTTTCTTTTTTCGTTGAACAAAGGACCACGTTCAACTTTCCTGGACGTTTGTCTTTAAGCTTCATCACAGCAACGTCAGCGATACCAATCATGCATTTGTCGAACGCTTCCTCACTGGCAGCATTCAGCACAATCTCTGACTGAAAAGCTCCTTTCTCACACGTTTGTCCTTTAACGTGCACACGTGCGACTGCATAAAGTTGAAGTACGTCCTCTGACTCTTTTGTGATGTAGAATCTCTGCCAGTATGTGTTTTCGAACTCGTCGTACGATACGCTTTCATTGTAACAAGACAAAGGAACATTTTCTGAGTCAACCAGCTCAAATCTGACGAGTTTTGATGGATCACATCTTGCAAAACCAATCAAACTCAGCAAAACATTGCAAAAATCATGTAGATATATGTAAACTTGATCGCTCCCTACACGACCGGTCATTATGTCCCTTAGATTGCGTGAAAAGAGGTCTAATCTCATGTACAACCTGATGTCTTGTTGGCTGTGCTGAAAGAACCGATTCAAAGATTTGAGCATTTGTCCAATTCCCAGACGTTCACCCCACTCCTGTATTTCTGCCTTCGCTTGATTGTCACGATTTTCTATGCACAGCTGCTCAAGAATTTGGCACATCTCATAAACAAGATCCCCGAAATTATCCTCCTGTTCCGCCTTTTGAACGTTTGACACAAATGCATCTATTTTGTCCTTTGACAGTCCCCTTAAACCATTTTGTGGCTCCGTACTTCCGCAGTCAACATAGATTTCCTTGACGTTTTGAATAAGGCAAGGGATAATGGACAGGAGAGTTTTAAGGCAAGGTTCATGAGAATGTGAACACACTTGTCTAAACTTCGATGCGATATCTTCAGGTATTGGCCGACAATTCTCATTTGGTAGGCGAATCTCAGTGAAATGGTTGATTAAAAAATAATCTGCATGGTTTGTGGAGGAGGCTGCTCTTTCCACACCTTCAGCAGAGCATTCCATTTCGATGCACAGGTCTCTTATCACAGACATACAAAGAGTGCGAAATAACCCGGCGTCGATATTCTTGGTTGTAAATTCTCGCAAGTTCCTTATATGCATCTGACCTCTTGCTGTTACTTTGTAACTTGTGTGGTCTGTATAAATGAAAGTCGAAAAACAGTAAGTCAACTAGGATAAAATTTTAAAAATCGAAAACACCAAAGATTAATTCGACGCTTTCAAGTAGTGGCCTTTTCCCAAACGTTTTTTCACAAGGCATTAGAATTTCCCAAGTGGACGCGTCGGAATTAAGTTTACGAGAACACAACTAACGGTGTTTGTCATTACCAAATATTATACAAAGCCTCAAGTAGACGCAAGAATATTATTTCAAATGACTTGTATTTCATTGGAAGTTGAATGATGATAATAATTTTGTATAAGTTTCGATTGAGATACTTAATGTGAAACTAGACGATAACTGAAGCAGGGGCTTGACAAACCTTGTTTTAACTTGTCAAGGTCTCTTCTTAGAGCATCAAGGTTTTCTGCCACATTCTTCTCTCTTGACCAGTGTCGCAAAATTATGTCCAGTTGCTCGCTCTCGTCGTTCCAACACTCCGTGAGTTCATTCATTACCTCTTCAGGCATGCCAAACGACCTAGCAATGGGAATGAGGTTAAAAATGGCATCTTCTACACCAAGCAAGCTCCTTACATAGCCACGTAGATCTGAAATTAAAGAAAAATAGAAACGTACTTAAGCTAACTGCGTTGTACGTGGATGTTTTTACAGTTTATAGTCGAGGTAGTTCGACTACATCAAAACATGAAATAGCTCAAATATTTTTTATGAGCGATGAACGGCAGTGCATTTGTGAGACTATGCTGCCGACTCTCTTAAGAAAACAAAATAGCTCATTCAGATTACAGTCTGCGTTACAGGCATTTAATAGTGAGGTAGACAGAGTTCTCTCCCGCCGTGCAATGGTTAGTGCAAGGAGAAGCCCTTTCGCCTTCTTAGCCCCCTATTAAACACTTAAAGGTCAAATGAACCAAAAAATTGAAGTATTTCCTTCTGTCACTTTACCTTCACCAAACTCTAAAAAGAACCATCCTAAAAGATATTTGGTTTAAAGATTTTTCTTCCCAAGCCTTTATAGAAAGATAAAAGATCAAAATCCGAGCATTTCCGAAGACTTCACGAAAACGTTTCTGAAATGGCCGCGCGATGGACCGGAGACTACGTGACGTCATTGTTGGTCTTCAGGGCGGAAAAACGTTCTGCGCAAGCTTCTGCGCATCCCTTATATCGCCTGCGTTTGTTTATGTCGGTCTGTGAGAGTTCTGACTGAGACTTTTTAAAACCTTTTTTTGTTTTTGTTGTTGTTGTTTTTTCGTCACTTGAAAATTACTTTGGATTCGGAACAACAAATATTAGAGTAAAAACGGATCATTCCGTCAGTCTGAGGTGGAATATAACGTTTTGAACACTTCCAAAGAGGTTTGTATTTTTCTGATAATTGTGCATTCGATTTGTGAGTTGATTTTGTGTCCATCGGCTACGGCTAGTGCTTCGTTTTCTTTCGCCGGGCTGAATTAAAACCCGCTTGTATTCTGTTATTAGTAGTTACGGTTACTTTTTTACATTCCCAGCGGTGATTTATTTACCTTTGCAGAACCAGCTTTATCTTTGTCTTCAGTCAAAGAAACGAAATGCTAACGCATACGAGTGAACACACTTGTGCGCTTAAAACGTTCTCGGAGCTCATGATAGAAGGCCAGCAAGCTTACTCGAGAAGACTACACTACTTCGACCATTTTTCTGTTGCTCAACAACAACAACAACAACATCTTTTATTTAAACACGGTGGGTTTTAAAGCTAATATAGCTTATGGGGCCGTGTAAAGAATGTTAATAAAAATAAAATAATAAAAATTGTTAAAATTGAATGTAGTCAATAAAAGGTGAAATATGTACAATAAAAAATATGAGTAGAATTATTAAAAGACGAAATCACTGTCAATTTGGGGACTACCCATTTGCGGTGACTCTTCATTAAAGTTCAAGTTTCTGAGAGCGTAAGATTTTTTTGCCCTTTTGGCATAGTCCCTGGCGCTGACAGCGGCTGGTTCTAAGAGATTCCAAACAATGGATCCTCTGTAAGAAATGCAGTTTTTCATAAAATAAGTTTCAAAACTTTGTACGCTAACACGATGTTGATGACGGAGGTCATACTTAGACTCTTTCCTTTGGATTATATGTTCCAAGCATGATGGAGTAATGCGGTTGTATATGTTATAAATTAAGGTGGCTATTTTGACCTTATATGTCGAATAAAGAGTCCCAGTTAGCTGTTTTTCTTACGTCCTCAGAGGGCATGTCGCGCGCGAGGTTATATACAACTCTAGCAGCCCTACAATGTATGGATTCCAAAGAATTAAATTCATTTTTATTTGTACAATACCCTCAAATTGGTAACGCATATGTAACCGACGGTAAAATGACTTTAAAATATAGGTCTAAAAGCGAGTTCCTGGGTAAAAAGCGGCTGCTTTTGATTAGATTGAGATTGTTAACGAACCCTCTTTTGAGCTCTGATATGTGTTTTGTCCACGTAAACTTGTTGTCAGTGGTTACACTTAACAGCTTAGAACTTGAGGACCATTTTATGAGATGCTGGTTAATTTTTAAACTGCCTAAGGGACCGATAAAATGATTTCGTTTAAGGATCATTCCCTCGCACTTTTTGGGGTGTGGTACCAGGGAGTTATGTTTGCACCAGAGGGCGAGTTCTTCTAGAGCTTTGTTCAGCGTTATTGTGACCTGGTCTACGGATTCACCAACACAGTACATAGTGGTATCATCAGCATACAGGAACGTTGTTGCAGTGTGAACTGCTTTCGGTAGATCGCTTGTGTACAAGGCGAAGAGTATGGGCCCGAGTACGGAGCCCTGTGGTATACCGTGTACAACTTTGGTATTCTCAGAGGGTACGCCATTAATTACAGTATACTGTTCCCGATCGGATAGATAATCTCTTAGGCATGCCAGTAAGTTTCCCGTGATTCCAAAGTTGTGCTCTAGCTTGTGAAGAAGAATTGAGTGTGAAACGCAATCAAACGCCTTCTGGAAGTCTATGAATATGGCGCCCACAACTAATTTGTTATCGATTGCTCGTCGCCAAGTTTCTAGCAGGTGGATGAGTAATAGCTCTGTCGATCTTCCTTTTCGGTAGGCCCACTGGTTGTCAGTGACGAGCGCTTCGTTTTCCGAGAAAACATGTTTCACAATCGTGTCCGCTACACATGATTCTAAAATCTTGCTGGGTACACTTAGCAAGGAGAGGGGACGATAATTACTCATTACCGTAGGATCATCTTTTTTGAATACAGGTGTTAGTCTGGCCACTTTCCAATTATTGTAGACTCTACATTCGCGTATGCTTTGAATGAAAAGGCTGGTCAGCGGGCCAACAACAGCAGTACCTGCGAGTTTCAATAATTTGGGTGATATACCATCTGGTCCGGTGGCTTTATTATTCTTCAATAATGTTATTTTCCTCTCAATATTAAGGCTAGATAGATTAATATCGGATATACATGGTACAGGTTTGGAGCATCAACGAATAATAGTCAGAGCTTTTTCCTTTTTTCATTTTTAATTACATAATTTTGTTTTTTTTCTGTAAGCAAATTTTACTTTTCACTCGCTGTAGTAGCTGAACTGCCGGCAGTGACTTCAAAACAATTGACTCTTTGCCCGTAAACAATTGCTGGAGCTGAATTTGACTAAGCGAGCAAAACAAACCCTTACGTGCAGTTTTCTGTATTTTCTAATGATTCAGTTTGCTGAGTTAAATTTGCTTGAATGAAGACCCTCGCATGGACCAGTTATTAAAAATAGCTAAATGGTGAATCATGGCTTAGCTACGAAGCTTGCAACTGATCTTTTGCTTTCATGATCTTTAGGTAGGTTGTTTTCGTACAGAAAATTCACTTCTTTGAACATTGTCATTGTACATGTATAAGAGCCTTAAGACTTATGTTTTTTTCCAATGAAAATTTGTTGTTTTGCAACCTTATTATTGAAGCTTTTTTTAGTTCACTTAAGCTGAATTTCACGCATGATGGAATTGTTCTTTGCTTGTCGCATCTCTTTGCGAGCTTAAAGTGGCGTCTATGGTCCTCAAGTGACCCCAGTCGGAAATTAAATCACATACATAAGTGGAAAGACGTTTTTGCAATAATGTAACTTTAACTTTGTTTGAGGGAAATCTTACTTATGCGTAGGTTTTTGAGAGGTGTTATGCATGTTCAACCGTGACAACACAAAGCAAATCTTACGCGAAACGATCAAGTTTATAAAACTATAGTTGCTTTCAAATCGATTTTGGGGAAGATTTTACTAGATAAAGATTAACTCTTTTTCTGCCCACTTATCAACGCCAAAACTTCGACTTGTTTTGCGAAGCTACAAGTGTCCGATCAAGGCGTGGGTTTTAAAATATCATCAGCTCGAGTGCGGCAAAGTTCAGACACATTGTGGGCAAACGTGAAATTTTTGGGCAAAACACCATAGAAAGATATTTTGTTATTGTGTCCACAGTGGAGCTCCGGACCTTATATATCCAGGAACTTCCTCATGGGAACACATTTTGTGAATGCATCTTGAAAAAAATCGGACCTAAGCACGCACATTTCCAGTACAACGCAAGGAGATTAGTGTCGTTAAAGTCCGTTTTATTATGATGCATACTTCGAGAAAATTAAATAATAAGAGGATTTTAACCCCAGCTTGCAACTTTTGAAGACAAATTGCTTGTTCCTTCCAGGTTTATGGCCACACAAACCACCATAATTTCTGCGCCAAGTCGGCTCAAAAAGCACCGTTTTGAATTTTCCGCTTTTTTTCACCTGACCGACATTGACGTCAAAAGCTGTTTTTGCCGACAATTTTTCCGACCGCTCTACGAAGATAAGGGTAAAAAAATAACACTTTTTAACTGCGAATATCTCGGAGATGCTTGCTTTAATTGAGCTGAAACTTCATAGTATGCATGTTTACTTGGTTCGTATTAAACACATTTCACTAGAATTGAACTAAAATAAAAAAGGTCGAAATTTTGGTTCATTTGACCTTTAAGATTGTACTTTAAAATCGATTGTGGAATGTGGCGAAAATAATATAGATTTTGTTACTGTCCTACTCAGTTGACAGCAAAGTATGTCCACGAAGCAATCAGATACATTAGCCGAGTTTTCGGTCTGTACTGTAAATTACGGACCGAGTTTTTTTTTCCATCGATTTATGGCCCGCGCGCTTCGCGCTTGGGTCATAAATCGATGGAAAAAAAGGAGGATCCGTAATTTACAGTACGAACCGAAAAAACGAGGCTAATAAGATGTTTATTATATGGCTTCTTCCTGTTTGGGGGACCGGAAACAAGTGCAGGACGCACGATTTGACAGTCATTTGACAGTCGTCAAAAAAGAAAGTTTTTATTGGCGCACGAAAACAATAGCACATAACAAAGGCTTTTCGAGAAAGTAAAAACAAATTCGCCATGTTGAAAAAGTTTATTTGGTCAAAACTAAGAGCACTGTAAGTTTTAGCTCTTTAATGTAACGCTGTAGTATTTTGGAAGCCGGACACTATGTCTGTCTAGAAGTCGTTTCCGTCTTTCCTCCGTTTGTCCTTGTAAAAAAAAAAACACTGGAAAAGGCAAAGAAGCTTTTCAAGGTGAGTCTGTTGTCATTGTCGAAGGATTCGCTCGTTAATTGTTATTGGGAAATCCTCTCTTTCTGCCAGTTCATTCTTGTCTTCAATTGCACGTGATCTGCGTTAAAATTTTCAAACGCTGACTGAATTCTCTTCCTCGTTGAGGTTACGATTCAGTTTCTACGTCAGCTTCGTTCTCATTTAAACAAAGCTAGGTGAAAATTTGGAAAGGCAAAGTCAATATCCCAGTCCTCAGGGTTTACAGACATATTTTAAAGTTTATTGGGTCAAAACTAAGAGCACTGTAAGTATTTACTCGTTAATGTGACGCTGGAGTCTTTTGAAAACTGCACATTTTGTCTGGCTCGAACTCGCTTCTATCTTTCTTTCGTTGGTCCTTGAAAAGCACTGCAAATGGCAAAGAAGCTTGTCAAGATGATCGGGTGTAGGTATGTGTATCATATTTGTCGAACGAATTACTCATTTTCTCTTAGGCAAACCATGTCGAATCTCTGCCAGTCGATTTTCGTCTTCTTAACTGTGTACTGCGACAAAATTTTCAAACACTGACTAGAATCCTCTTCGGTAAGATTACGAGTTAGTTTCGTCATCGCCTTTGTTCACAAATAGACACAGTTTAAAATGTTGAAGGCCAAAGTCAACAGGTTGACAGGCGTTTTATAAGTTTATTTAAACCTTTTTTCCGAGGTAAAGAGATGTAGAGCTCCGAAAAGAACGTTTCTTTAAAAAGTTTGGTCCGTATAGCAAGTTACGGACCGCAAATTGACCAATCGCATGGCGAAAGCAGACTCTGCCATATAATAAATCTTAATATTTCATCAACAGTAACATGTGTATTATGCTTATGTAAGCTAACTGTCATACCTTCTTCACTGAAGTGCCATGTGCTAATGTGTCCGTATTCTCCTTGTACGGTAATCGCTCCGCACAGACTTCTGACATCCCGTTTTGATTTCAGAGAGAGTCTGACAACCTTTCCAGCGTTCCACCAAATGGAGGCCTGTACACTGAATTGTCTACTTTCCTGATGGCTGTCAACAAGCTTGTAGTCTTCCCCAACCTGAATGTCGACTGTAAGATTTTCGTTGTTACTGATGCGTCTTCTCCCCTCTGGCGTTTCACTACGAGTTACATGGAGCTTTACAAATTGATCCTTTTCTAGCTGAACTAAAGCTGAATTCTTCTGCAGTTTGTAAAATTGTTCGTGATAGACATCTTCGCTTACGAAGAGTAGGGCAAGTTCGTCTTCAACTTCGTTGCGCACTTTCTCAGACAAAGAGCCGCCCCTCCTTAACACCAACAACCTGTAATGAAATGCATGCAAATTGAGCCGAGACACAAAGTCTTTGAGGCGAATTCTAGTCCTCCTTTTCAAAACTGCAATCCGCGAGAAATGGTTTAGCTCGATGATCACTTCTTGGCTGGCCTCATCAGTTTTTGCACTATGAGTGATGTCCTCCCAGGTGATCTTTCCTAAGCTTGCCTCTGTGCCGTGCAAAATAAGGACGTCACTAAACTTCCAACCCGGAATTTCGAACTTGGTGATCAGCGTAACAGGCTTCTTGAAGAAACATCCATTAGGACGAAGATTGATGATGGGTGCACCGAACATGACGTCTTTTGCAAGATCCTTTTGAACAAGAAGTCGATAATACTTGAAAGGATGTTCTAATGTTACGCTGACGGACACAGGAGTTTCTACAGCTCCTGAAGGGCAAACCAGTCTGACACCTTCTCCATACATTTTACCACCCTCACTGGTGACGATGCTGCATAAAACATTTTTGTCTGCCCATGGTGAATTGTCCTTGATGCAAGCTAACAAATCACCTTGAAATCAAAGAAATAAACCTGTGAGAACAGCAACTCGAACGACATTAAGCAGAAAAGCTCTATAAGAGACGCTCAAATGGTACAAACAGTTTAAAGTAGCTTTCTCAGTCGGTGAGGTCTGTCCGTGTTCGAAATAACCTCCCGATATATGGTTACCTGTAGGTATCACTAACTACAATACATCAATGATGCAGCTTTCATTAATTTCAAACAAATATTACCCTCCGTGGAAAACGTTAACAGATCATGTTTAAACAAGAAATGGTCTGCTGAGGAATATCGTCTAAAGAACAGAAGCTACGAATGTTATCAGCCTTAATTAACAAAGATCCTTGAAATGGCGATCTGAGTTCAACTAAGGAATATCAGATTGTTTCATTGTGGTAAAAAATGGCTGAGTACTAAACTTCAAAGATTACCGAATGGGAGAATACTCCAGAAGACATTGTACATCATTAAGATCGCACTCTAAACACAATTAGCCACACTAAACTGGGTCAAACGCCACGCATGAGCTGAACTCAATTCAATAGCGACCTTAAGATTTGGTTTTTGTTTTTACTGTAACAGCTAATACTATGGATTGCCAGCGTACTAGTTTAATAAGCTACAAGAGATACAAAATGCCGCCGATATGATAAAATTCGGATAACCTAAACACCAACCTTCTACAATCTGTACTGGCTGCCGTTTTTAGGACAGTTTGTTAATATTATTATTATTACAAGTGAGACCGGTAAAAGTAAATAATAATTACTTTACACTATATAAAGCTTCGAGTTTAAACCTTAAAATAATTTGATCAAAAAGGGTTAGCTTTTACGTCTTTCTTCGGTACCGCATATTTATACGACGAAGTCACGGTTCGAGGTTCTCCGCTATAATGAGAAGTGATCCCATTTGCTTTTATTGATATGGATGTATGGAAATTGATCGCTCTTTTTGATGTACAAATCATGTCCAGTGACAGACAAATCATGTCAAAGAGAAAGTAAAATCAACTATTACAACTGATTCTTAAGTCGTGGCACAAGCCGATTAATAAAATGGATTTACAAAGAGAGATACGAATTGCTCTTACTGAAAAGAAAACAACAACTTAATAACTCAGAGCCTGCTGTGCAAACCACTAAGCTGAAACTTATGTCATGTTAGGCCCCTTTCAAACGTGGAATTTCTTATGAGTGCCGAACACCTATATTTAGTCGATGAAAGTAATTAAATACTGCAGTTGATTCAGAGGTCGGATATGATGGTGACGAACTAAACTTTGTTTGTTGTAAATATTCCCAGTCCCTAGAAAAAATTTGTTTATCCAATATGGATAAGGGTTTCTATAATTAATGCATTATATTCGGCACATGTGAAATGCGACTTCTAAATAAAATGTTGAACCTAAGTCGAATTTTCGACTGTTTCAATTTACCACATTATGTTACTAGCAACATGCACCACGCAGGTAAAAAGGAGAGTAAAAAAGAGATTTTTAAAAAGAAAAAACAAATAAGGTTACGAAAAATTTGCGTCAAGGGGATTCGAATCCGGACCCTCGGAATCAGTTACAACTAAAAGTTAACGCCTGGACCGCCTCGATAAAAGCTGATAATTCGAGTTTAAAAGAGGTACATATTTCTTCTCTATGGTGATTGACAGTTTTCAAGGATGGCTTTTTATTTTTTTTTTAAATTTCCGTGTAGAATTAAATCTTTCACTGATCAAAGCTAGAGGTAAAGCTCACAATAAACCCTTTAATACTTTTTCAGGCTTGTCCATGCCGGGGGACGTTTAAGAAATTTATGAACTATCGATCGCGCGGCTACCGACTGAACCGCATGACCGTACGATACTCTCCCTGCTCGTAAGGTGTCTTTTCATCGGTCGGGGAAAACATTAACACAACATTGTTCATCATTATTTCCATTTTTTTAGGTCAGGGTAGCATTTCACATTTTGGCCTTTAGGGTTAGAAGAGCTGCTACATGACCTCTACCCCCGGAATGAAGAAAAACAGTATGGCCGCCAAATACATCCTTTTAGTTTTTAAAGTTCTCTTTTATTAACAAACGTTGAACATTTATCGCAGCAAACAAACAGTTAAGTTGAAAAAGGATTTTACAAAAGTCTCAAGAGTAGGTCTCCTTTTCGATTTGAATTTGCAATATCGGTCAAGTTACGCAACTTTTAAACTTCTGGCTCAGTTTTCGTTTGCTTCTGCTTTGAAAATGGCATAATAATTACTTAGGGGTAATACAGTGTAAAGATTTGTAGAGAAAAACAACAAAAACTTGCCAATTTACGGCAAAAATGTACTTTAAAACGAACTTAAATATTCAAAACGCTCTGATCACGTGACTGATGACGTCAAGCCCCTCTTTTGGTCAGAAAAAAAAATTATCGGGTAGAACATTACTTTCCTGCAAATTTTCTCTGCCGTGTGATGAAACGTCAACTCTCTACAGCCCTCGGCCTAGTCTCCCGACTTTTTCGCTCATGTTCATTACCCTTTTAAATTTTAAATGCCGGACGTCAACTGGTTATTTTAAAATGTCCCAGACAACCAAACCCTCAAATATGCTATTTGTTTTTAACCCAATAATGAAATCTTGTCACAGCAACAAAAAAACCTACTTAGGAAATAGTCACGTGACTGATGACGTCATCACTCTAGATGTGACATGGGAAGATATTTTGTGGCAAATGTTATCTTGCTGTGGTCTGACATTCTTCTACGTATAAAATTGTCAAAGTTATAACGATTTAAAAAAATGACTCAAAGGATTCTGGGATACTTTTTATGAATATTATAATTTAAGACATATAATTATAATTTACTTTTAAAATTATTACGAACTCCGGAGCACAAGTTAGAACTGAAGTAAGACGAACGCTATACCTAGCCCTAGCTAGGCCACATTTGGGATACGCCACCCAAATTTGGGTCCCGCGGTCCATTGAGCTCATTGTCAAGCTTGAGCGTATCCTAAGACGCGCGACTAAGTTTATCTTAAAGCTGCCTTATTCTTCTAATATAAGTTGTAAGTCTCGTTTACAAACTCCAAACCTAATACCTTTTTTTTTATTGGCATGACCTTCTAGATCTAACCTTTTTTTTCAAATTGACACACGGTCTTGTTAACGTGAACCCCTCTGTCGTACCTGAAGTTCGCAAATACGGTAGACGCACTAGATCCTCAACCAGCGATGTTAATAAATACATAAGTAAGAAATGTAAAACTAGTACGTACCAAAAATCCTTTCTCATTATAACTAGTAGAATTTGGAATTGTTTAGTGGATAAAGTAGATTTGAGCTCATCGACCTTAGCTTCCTTTAAATGCGTTATTTTTAATTATTATAAGTCCGCGTTAGCTGTTTCCTATGATTGTGAAGACCCAAGTTCGTTCAAGTCTATCTGTTTAAAATGTAACAGTGCTCTTCCCTTGTCTCGTCCAGTAACTTGTTGAATGTATGTTGCTGTAGTTTTTCTTGTATCGCTGTGTTTTTTAATATTTCTTGATTTTATTTTCTTATTAGTATCCGGACCCGCTGTAATTGGCCACAGCTGTTGCGGTGTCCCTGCCAACGTTCTTTCTGTTTGTTTGTTTTTTTTTCGGCGAAAATAAAATAAGTACAACTTTGGAAGTACGAGCTCGTTGTATCTCCCTATTTATAACTTTTTCCTGTTGCTGACTAGCACCTAAATAATCGTTATGGAAAAGATTGGGGTGATAATTAACTAAAATGAGGCACACGAGTCGTACTCGTACTCAAAATAGTACTTGGACTTTAATCTAAAGGTCCCTAATATGTCTTAAAACAACTTAGAAAAAGGGCGGGTTCTACAGTTTTTATTTTAAAGTTCAGCTAAATCAAGTCGGCTATTTAACGCAACAGGCGATTGTAATGATTTAGATCGACCTAAACTGTAAATCAAGTTCGACTCATGTTAAGTAAGGCGTTTGACCCGGGCTATAGGTCCATCGACGCAGCTGTTTTCGCGGCGTCAATTCGAATGTTACCTTTTGCCATCAAATAGTCACCAGGTTGCTGTGATGTAACCTGCCAAAGATAACAAAATTTACTTAGTAGTCAGACAAATATTACGTAGTTTTAGCTAAAACAACGCGACGACAGTGACTATGGTGCGCGATCGGCGCGCAGATCTAAAAAGTGATGATGATATTTCGCGTTCTCATATGACGTTGCGTTGTCTTTGCTAAATCTGTCTATTAACTCCATGACACGACTTTTTAATTAAACAAAATATTAGAGTCAGTTTGTGATAAGTAAAAGGAATCTCTTAAACAATCATTGCTTACCAATTTAGATGGATAAGTGGTAACAGAGACAACATTCTCGAGATCCCCTGGTAAATTCCCAGGTGTGCTAAAGACAGGAGAAGATATAAGAGGCATACTCCTTACTTTCGGTAGACAAGTTCGGACGAAAAGAACATTTTTGTAACTAGTGCAGATGCTCTAACTCTAAACCAAAGGAGACTCGTGAGAGCTAAGGCGGCCATTAACCTAGGTTTATAAGACAAGTAACCTGCATATTTTTGGGGCTATAATTTTGACAGGAGGCATAAATGTGGCGGTGAATTTTAAGCCTGGTGAATTAACCTAATCGCAAGACCGTTGTCAGAAAATTAAAAAAAATAAAAAATAAATAAAAAAGCTAAGACTTTGGCTCGCGTACCATATTCAGAGATCTGCATTGATCTGAAGATAGGGTGAAGATCAGAAGTCTTAACTTTCTTAACATTGGCCATTTTACCTTCTTATACTTAGCTGATGTCAAATTGAATTATTATCCTGTACTGCAAAAGTGTTTTCAGTGTTATTAAAACAGATGAAAATGTTGTTTGCATGGCTAATTTGAACTTTAAAGACCTACGTTAATGTTGTAAGC